ATATATATATATATATATATATATATATATATACAAACTAAAAAGCAAGTACCTGACAACCTACATCTTACTATAAAAAATACAGGAAGTCTCGAAATGAGTTGATGTTACTATTTAGTGGTGTGTGATCATTGAAAATGGAAAGGCTTTCTTTAACTGAATATGAACAGGGTTGGTTCACTGGATTGACCCTGTATTGGAGACAGAATATAAATTCCAAGTTTACATATTGTATTTACACGAAATGTGGCAAGCTTTTAATAAAATGTTGAAATTTGCTATGCACAAAACATCACATGTGTTACATAAGTATTTGTACTGACAATAAGTGTGTGAATTGAAGATGTCAGTCTGACTCAGACTATGACAAGTGAGAGTGCAAAATGATGTTCATCTGAAGAATACACTTTTGTCCATCATGCAGTTTGAATATTGCATTTGCGTAGCCTCTAGAACCTCTGAAATGCATATTTTTTTTTTCTTTCAATATCCCTATATACTGTATCTGGTATTTACTGTTTTTAACATGTAATTTTGCTAAATCAGCAATGTAGGGTAAAATGTCTAGTTGATAACTCTGACATCAAATACATAATACCATAGTAATGCTGATCTCCAAAAAGTTGTGTCACATAGATTTTGACCCCCCATCTATGCACACTGCACATAGGGTTAAACAAAAAATATGATACCAATAAACTGAGCACTTTTGGAAGGTGGACTAGTTTGCCCCTCAATAATAAAAGTTTACCTTTTGAAAGCACTCAGGTTATAGATCATATTTAGAAACATACATAGCTTATACTGTTAAATATGTATTATGAAACTCCACCTATTCTCCAAAGTTTTAGAAGATTCTTGAGAGTAAGAATCAACAATATACGTATGTACGTAAATGCTTAAATTTGTATTGTTACGTAATCAGAATTTTCTAGAAAGCCTCCATACACCTATAAATATAACTAATCCGCCATGCCAAAAGAGAGTATCTATTATTAGTTTGCTATAGTCAGTGTGCTACAAACTTCAGAAGTTATAACTGTGATTGTTATAATGCTTATCAATTGGAAAACTTCAAATATATGACCAGGAACCTTCATAAAGTTCAAACATTACAAATCATTTAACTTCAGTGTATTCCCATCGGACATTAGTATTTTTATGAAAACATTATATAAATTCATTGTGGAAAACTTGGCATGTGTGGCTGGTAAATAACGAAAAACAAAGCTAGCTAGCTTCCTGTTGAGTGAATTATACCTACGTCAACTCGTAATCAACTCACTCATCATGAACTCTCGATAAGATATCGAAGAAGTTCCAGACTAAAAGGAAGACTTTATATTGCTTGTAAGCAGGAACGTCGAGAGCCAGCACGGGCCCCAGGGCAAACATCCAGTATGATACAAAAATAAAACAGACACTAGAGATAAACATACAAATAGTAAAGGTTTAGCAATTGCCAATATTTACAGTTACACATACTAAACACTCACCAAGAGCCAATTTCCAATTAAATACACACCAGACACTAAGAAAGACACTCTTCAGTCAAACATATTACACATTTACTAAGGAAAACTTTTAAATCAAAAGTAAAAGAATCAGGAAGAAAGAGTCTCCAACTAAATACTCACCACAAATGCTATCCAATTAACTGCACACTAAACATTCCACAACAATAATTCTCGATTCAAACACCATAGTAAACACTTTCTAATAATACAAGCTAAACACCAATCAAAAGATATTAAATACTCACCAAGAAAAACTCTCCATGTTTTTTCTTCTGGAGACTGTCTCCAGCCATAAGGCCAGCCAAGGATTACTGTATTGTGCTTTAATCCACCAAGACCAGATGTCTGAATCCTAATATGTAAAAATACTTTTGTACTAATCATAAACTTAACTTTTCTAACTGACAAAACTGAAAAGTAGTTTTCTAATAAAACAATGTTATGCTTAGAATTTGTTTTTGCCCTATACATTGTGATCATAATACTGTACAGAAAGTTTTATTATTCACAGAAATGAATGATACTTACAAAAAAGTAGCATTTTATTACAGACATAAATGACTAATGTTTTACTTGGCATTATACACTTGCAAGATCATATGCAAAAGAAGTACAAGTAGATGTATGTATGTCAAAAGAACACTTTTTTATTTCAATAAATAAATATTGTTTCAACTTCATTTTAAAACACCACTGTAAAAAGATAGTACAGAACTGTTATTAAAATACACCAAAAATGTTAACATTAACACTTTAACAGTCATGTTTTGTGGAAGTATCTATACCACAGTTGAAAACAATGCATCTATTTCATTTATGAAAATGTTTAGTCAAAAATATGGAAGACAACAATAAAATGTGTTATTAAACTCAACTCTATCTAAAAAGATATTTCTGAGTAGAATAAATTCCAATGTTAACACTCTTAACACCTTCCTATACAACTACATGTTTTCAATGCACTGAGACTTACATTACCCAGGTAAACATAAAAATGAAGGTTCATCAGTAGTATATCATTACTTGTAGTGTAATTTTTAAAGATTTGAAAAAAGTCTCATGAGTAAATCAAATATTCTATTTATTAACCACTCATTGCCACACAAGACCACCCATTTTGAACCAGGTTTTTCAGCACTCAAATTATATCTCTGTATGACTACGTGCAAATAATCTGTATTATTATTCAACGAAGACATTTTATGATAACTAATTCTTATGTATTAACATTTCTAAAACATCTTAATGTCATTAGTCAAGAATGTATTATTTTGTTAATTTATATTTTGACTTATTCCTCCTGTTAAGAATAGTTTTAGGTAATGCAATCTCTTAACCTGATGATTCCTGACTTTTCTATAAGAGTGTAGGTAATGTCGTTCTCATCATATTTTGTTAAAAAAATAAAAATACTGGGTGAAATTTGGCAAGAATGTTCTTAAAGGTATGTTGTTTCAGAAAAAATTAAATATTTAATTTTTTTTTTTATTTCTAATAAAAAATTCTTTATTTCATGTAGTTATTTGCACTTGGACTCTGACCAGTTCACCTGAAAGGTAATTTTTATATGAAGTATAAAAATACTATTTTTATCTTAATTTTCACATTTCATTTGCATAATCTCTAGAACCTCATAAATGAATATCAAAAGTTTTTAAGGTAAATGCTTATATTTTATTTTCATTTTATCTGTTATATCACTAACTATCTATTATCATAATATACAGTGCAATGAAATGTTTAAAATTAACAAATGAAAATATATATATACCTTTCAACTCTTTGTAGAAATTCACTAGAATAATATTCTTTGTCGCCTATGCATAATTTTATATCTTTATCTTTTCACTTATAGTTCATTTTTAATTTTCCTTTCAAATTCAACTGATGCTCGATTGACTTAATAAAGTTTCTGCTTGACCTACGATGGGCAGAGGTGCGATTGCCTAAAGATTGCTTGTACAAACCTGTGTTTATAAGCCTTCACAATCTAGGCAACAACAAGTTAAACATATAAAAATCATTAAACCTTTCAAATATGATTTTTAAAACACAAATAATACATAATTAACTAAAATATAAAAGTAAGACCTAAATACAATTTGACTGTCTCTGTAACTATGGCATATTTAGGTTCTAACCACTGTAAGTGCTATAATTGATCATGCATACAACAATACTAATGGCAATTACATGTACCCCATGATGGAAACTGCACACCACTTTCAAGTTATGCATTGGTGGAGTATAGTGTAAACTGAGCTCTTTTTAATGACTATATATATACACTTGTGTCAACTAACTATACACAAGTTGTAAATCTCACAGCAAAGTATATAAGGTGAGCATGGCACCTGCCAGAGGTTGACAAAAGTTATTTCTGTTTTCAAGTTAATGCAGCTGTAAGACTGTTTCTTAGTGTTAATAGTACAAATAGACATATATTAGTGTCTAGACACTCATGTACATTGCCAGCTTGTGTAAGAATCAACTGCTGCTGCTAAAGTTGACAGTTGTCATAGCACGTGGATCACGTGACAAGAAAACTGCAGTTTAAGTAATTTTTTGAAATGATTCCTTTGAAATAAAGGAATTAAAACTTAGATAATATAAGATTTAAATGATAACACACATTATAATGTTAATTTCATTGAATATGTTGATAGTAAAGTGGTTTAATTAAATTTTGAATGTGACACAGTACCATATGCTGAAAGGAATTTTAAAATGATGTACGGTGTTATAGGGTTAATAATGGCTCTAAACTGACCTGAAACAAAAAATATGGAACATGCCTTATTAACATTCTGGAAATATTTTCTTCATATGTATTGTTTTTCTAGTTATCTAGTGAATGTGCTTTCAAAGCAAACTATCAAATACTGTACCCCTTTAAACATTTTTCTGTGCAAGTTACTGAGTTACATTGAAAATTTAATTAATAACCTTTACTATCAATATATGTGAATGAAATTATCATCATAATGTACACTACGACCAGCTAGACCAGCCTTTTGTTGTCACAGTTAGAAGCCTAGAAAAAAAATGATTTTTTTTTTGCTTATATATTACTGATCTATTGATATCCTACATTTGAAACATCTTCAGAGGAGTTTCAAGAATAATATTAATTTGAAAAAGGCAGAATTAGAACTTAGTTCTTCTGGTTAGAAAAACTTATCTACTTATATAGGGTGTAGCCCACTAGTAAGTTCATAAGAAAGAAAGAGAGAGATAAAAAAAACTAATATATATATATATATTTATATATAAAGCTAATCTCAAAGTGGCCAGCAATTAAATACAAATTGCCATAACTGCACTGTATCTTACTCACATTTTTGATTCCCCATTAATCAACTCTCTTGGCCAAATTCCAGATGATAAAACCATTCTTAACTCTCTCTACACAGGCTTGGTCAAACTGACAGACTATGTTATGACTTTTTACTCACTTAATGTCATTATAGTTTTGAAACTACTAACTTTTAATATAGTAAGTATATCTTCACAAAATTTGGCACACTTTCAGTTAATATTACAAGTCTTTCACATACAAAAAATCATATTTCTTAGTGAAGTATTTTTAATAAACTAAAACAAGATTTGTCCATGAATATATTGAGTATTTGTTTTGAATAGACCATGTGCAAAGTAATTTTTCGTTATCTCAAAAATCTCAAATTTCCTTTGTGTAATTCCTAAAATCTCCTAAATGCATTTCAAACGTTGTTTTTTAGTAAAACTTTATAGTTTTTCTGTTATTTACTCTACCCTATCTCAAAATGGGATTGGTCAATTCGACTGACTGTGTAACCACTAAAATAAAATCGAAATAAGCCTAAATTAACCTATTTTTCTTTCTACAATGACTTCAAATTGTAAAATGAAACTACATTACTTTATCCTAAGTAGCTCTAAGTTTGTAACATTGTACATCTATTTATAATTAGATTTTATTGTTTTACTGCCCTTTGAACCATGTCTAACTACTTTCCATGCCATAAAAAATTGTAAATCACTTGGAGAACATGCAGGTCATTACCCACGAGCTGCTCTTATGCATGCCTCCTGAACCATTTTAATTATATTATTATTATTACTTATTTTACCTAATATAGTCTTAAATAACTTAAAAGGATCAGTATTTTTACATTTTAGTTACTTTTATAATAAACATGGAAAACGAGAAATTAAAATACTTAACTAATCGGGTTTCAAAAAGAGTTAACCCTAACTTTTTATAGTACTAATAGTAATGCATTTAATTAAATAATGTACCAGAAAATATAGACTAATAACATACAAAAAGTAGACAAATTCCCTTACCTCTCAAAGTTTTTTCTGGCTTTCTAACTATGCAACAAGAGCCATTACAAATTCATCCAAGCTAGTAGTTAACTTTCTCGTGGGAACAAATCTTGTACTATGAGTGAAATTGATGCTTTCCTGTTCAGAACACAATGTTATATAATACGTCATTTGACAGATATATAATACGTCATTTGACTTTCTGTTGGTTATAGGTAATATATAATAAAATGTAAGAGGGAACTATCAACGAATTTTGAAAGAGGATGCGACAGGTGGGTGTGTCAGGAGGGGGCTGATTTTCTATTTGATAGCTCTGTAACCAAACAGAATTG